AATAAAAATTATTTTAAAAAAGAAAAGCAAAGAAACCATAACAAGAAGTTCCTTAGCAAACTGAATAGAGGAACTGAGGTGTGGGGAGGAAAGACTGAACCTTGTGGTCTTCAAAGTTTTTAATGGCTACTTGAAATCCTTATCAGATTTGTAGATGACAGAAAGTTACAGGAGAAAGCTAGTACAAATTCAAAATTATGTATCAATTACCAGAAATAGGATGGAGGTTGAGTGAGTAAAAGGTGCAGAGCTTTATCATGGCATCGTGGTGGCATAGGGGTGCAAGGGGAGGGAGGGAAAGGCATTCCAGTTGTAATGGTATATGAGAAAGACCTTGAGAGATGGGAAAAAGAGATGCTGCCTAGGGAACGTTCAGATAGGAGAGGACATAGCCCACAGCTGCCTAATGGGTGGAGCAAGAGGCTCAGAAGGGACCCTCCCTAGCTTCTCAGGCTGTAAAGGAGATGGTAGGAGATTTATACTTTCACACTTGCAAGATTCTGTTAATGTAGCCTTACAATAAAGTAGAATTACCTCATCTGGTTGTGTTTCCTGTCTGGTCTACCTGGGAAGGCTGACACTAGTTAACTGCAAGGGGGCAGATGGGTTGGGGGTCAGGAAGTGGCTCTTTAGCTAGCAGTCCCCATGGCAAAGCTGCCCCCCAGGCCTGGCAAACCTGGCACAGCAATGCCCAATCTTGAGGGCTGGTTGTTTTTTTGACAGAAGACCACTGCACATTTTGAGATGTTTCCAGCGGTCTTCCAGTAGACCACTGGACACATTCAAAAACATCCCTCACCTACAGATGAGCTGCCTAATCCTGGTGTGTGTCTGGGTGAAGCTTTACTGGAGGAAGAATGGGAGAGAATGGGTCTTCTCTCTCAGTTCTCTTATCTCAAGGAGTGAGCGAACTCACACCAAGGAACTGTTTCCCTGGTTCTTTCCCTTTCTCATGATTCCCTGGCAAGAGAAGCTGGGAGGGAAAGCAGGTCAAGACGAACAGTTTCCCTACTGAAAACATCTGCTTAGCCTCCCACCCTTTTTACCAGGAGCAGCTGCTTCCTCCCCAGAGAAGACAAGTGGAGTGGTGCATCTCCTGTGGTGAAGTTGCTCCTCTGCAGATTGGCCTAAACCATGGGATGGGGAGTATATTTTTACCATAATGGGACAATGAGTCTGCGGGTCTTCCATTCCTCAAAACTGGCTACAGATGAGGTGCCTCTCTTGGGGCAGAGCTTGCTGCCAAAGCAGAAAGGGAGTCAGAAAAGTGGGCAGCTCATTTTAAACTGGCATGCTTGCATGTGGGCTCCTGGGTGCAGAAAACCACCTCAGTTTATTTCTATCAATTGTTCTTATTCTGTTGTATGCTGTCCAGAGATGGCAAATCAGGAAAGACTACTAGTACGACTACTACTACTGCTACTACTACTAAATTGATTAACCCAATAAATAAATGTATAAGGTGCCAGTCTGATGTGTTTATTTCTGCTGCAACCCCACATTCCCACTGGCAGGTAATGTGCTGAACAGGGAAGGTGGTAAAGCTGGTGGACTTTGCTTTTTTGCACCACGTGCTTCTTACCCAGAATCAGGATGGCATTATTTGGCCATGACTTGAACCAATGCTATTGAGGCTGGCTATGCACCACCAACCTGGGGTGGTCTCTGTTGAGTCAACAATGGGTGGAGAGCCATGAGAAAAGGTCTGAAGGCCTGGGACATTTTTTGGCGTCTTAACATCTGGCCAGAGCCCCATGCAACATGCAGGATGGGGCCCTCAGCAGCCAGGCAGAACCCTGCAAGCACCCTTTTGGTTGCTTCTCCTGTTTAAACTGGGAAAGGATTTTCACAGCTTGATGGTCAGTCCCCACCCCCAAATTGGAGAAGATCTGGGTTCATCCCTGTCAGGGTGTGAACAGATCTTCTTGCCATGCCCCGTTCATTTCTGAGATCCCTGCAGCCACAGGTTTAGGTGTTTAAAAGCAAAAATTTTAAAAAGGAAAGGAGAAACACATCCCACTGGCAGGAAAAGGCAAGGGCCACCTTGGCACTTCCTGACAGCAGAAGATGCCACTCATTGGCCCCAGACCCCAAGGACACACTGAGTGTGATTCCAGAGTGTGGCTATTCTGGGAAAAACTTCCAGCTTAGATTTATCATCTGAGGTTGAACTCACCTTTCTCCATAGCGTGTTTAGGAGTTTGGTGTTACCTTCTGGGATTCTTGGATGAATGTGATTAACTTGGATCTTTTCAAATGGTTTTAGGCTTGGCATGGAAAGAGCTCTGCTTGGTCTGTGGGAAATCAGTGCTGGAGAAATGCTCTGAGGAAGACACAGGGGCTTCCAACTCCGTCTCTCAGAGATACTTTATGTTGCCCGAGAAGAATGGCCCACACCTTTGGGCCGTATCGGTTGAGATGACAGGGCTGAGAGATCTGGTCTGTTGTCTGCCATAGTTTAAAATACCAAGCTGAAATTCCAGGAAGGGTAATCCAGAGTTTTGGGTTTTAAGTTTTCTTTTTTATTAGCTTTTAAACTATTTTGTGCTTCAGTGTTGCCACGTCGTTCTTCTGTTGTTATTCTGTCATGTCTGCTGCTTTGATGACCTCATTCACTGTTGAGTTATAGCCTAAATGCCCCTGTTACACCAGTCCATGAGGGTCTAGAACAGGAAGCTGACAAGAAGGACAGTCACCAGGAAATTTAGTGGAATTTAATAGCCCTTCCCCCTGCTTAAGTAAAAGACTTAGCAATGCACTTTCTTGCAAACGTACGGCATAGAACAAGGCTGAATGGATCTAAGTAATCAGCTTCATCTATGAATTCCCAGAGTTGTGAGGCAAGTATAATAGCAGATTAAAGAAGAGTGGAAATATATGGCCAGCTCTTGCAATGAAGGAGTGGGACTGGGGTAATAAATCTGGAGTTAAAAGGGAGCAGTGAGGTCGCCACAATGGTTGATCATATCAAGTTATCCATATGGGTTAAAAACAAAAAGGAAGTACAAAGAACTCCAGGAGGACCTCTGTGAACTGTGGCTGGACAATAAAATGGCCGGCGTTGAGGAATTGGGGTAAAAATGCAGAAGGAGAAGGTCTTCTCCTTTTTCTAACACTGGAATCAGCAAATCTGAAGGACAGTTAGAATGACTTTCCCACACAGCATAGAATTCATTTCCTCAGAAGATAGCCTTAAAAGTGGGATTAAATACACCCGTGGCAAAGAAGATGATAAACTACTCTATCCGGATGGTGGTGGCTGTGCCTTCCTGTCCTTCTGTAGCTGGACCAGAGGGCAAATTCCAGGCCCCTCCAAGATTCAGATGATGCGGGTAGAGGTGAAAGTCAGCCTGGCATCAGGTGCCAGGGGACTCTGGAAGCAGAGTCTCTTCCTCCTCGTGTAAAGACAGGCCGCAGTCCTAGCAGAGCCAGCTAGGCCCTATATGGTTTATCAAAAAGTACAATATTATCCCTTTAAGAATACAACGATGTTTTATTTCCGAATGGATTTAGTGTCTTTTTTTCCCCGTCAGGACAAAAGAAGCACCATTTGGTGACTGGACCTGCTTTTCAGACGCCTGCTGCTGTGCATCAGGGATGGAGAAGCAACTGCGGCACCTTCTTCCAGGCCGCCATCTAGAGGGACCCCCACAAAGCTGCAGTGCAGCTCAGTTGGATCACGCAGGGCTTCTGCAAGAGTCCAGCTTTGTCATAACTTAGTACAGAATTCATGGTCTTCGGTCAGCTTGGTTTCTAAGACAGGGATTTGTTTCTTCTTAAAATTAAGTTTATCAAACTCTTCTCGGATTTCGAGGATGGATTTTTTCTTCGTCTCGGGCAGGAAGAAGTAAATAAGAAATCCTGACGTGTAAAGGGCCCCCATGAAGATGAGGAAGCTGAAATGACGGAAGTTTTCCTGAGGATGGAAAAACAAATACCCCACAATCCTTTAGAATTATGAAGCGAGCATCTCTTAGTTGAACGTGTGCTGTTGCTTGTCCTGGGATTCAGCTCATACTGCCACCTTTGCATCATTCTGCAGGTCAGCTTCAGCCAACCGCACGAAGCTGGCAGTTGACTCCCCCACCTTTCTTGCAGATAATACAGACTGGAGGAATAAACCCATTTGGACAAGAATCGCTTACCACAATCAATGGAAACACCATTCCGAGCACAAAGAATCCAGCCCAATTCAGGACACCACCAATCACAAAGGCAGATGCTCTGGATGACTGATCGAAGATTTCCACCCGAACAGAGGCTGTGGCACCCGCTATGGTGAGAAGCAGAGGAGAGTTTGCCGCTGTTCTACACGTAACCCTATGGAGATTTCTCATCAAGTGGATTTCCTGAGTGGCCACCTTGGCTCAGTAGCACCGCAAAACTTAGCTGTGGCCAGGAGGGGGAACCAGCCGTTTGATTAACTGTGGTTGGGGAAGGGAGAAGAGAAGTTGGGATAAATTTGGAATGGGGGCTAAAGATGGTGCCCGGGTCTAGCAACTGCTTCAGCTCCTGAAAGACATGCAAGCCGAGCTGTCTCCAATCATCAGGAGTCTGCAGTGTTCCAAATCATGACACGTCAAACATATATGTTTCTACCCATGGCCAGAAGCACTTTTATCTACAGAAGTGTTGCTTCTTTTGGCAATTTCTTTTGTAATTCTGAAGTTGGGAAACGGCTTCAAGTATGTCTATAACTGCTGTAAAGAAGATTGGAAGTCGCTTCTTTCAGTATCTTTTTGTTTTCTTTTTCTTTCTCTTTGCTCT